TCTTGTCCTTGGCATCAGATGGGACCAAGGCTTTTTCACCTGTCTTCCCTCTGACACTAGCCCTACATGCTTGCTGAGGTGCTACAGAGTAAATGTCCACTGGACTAGAGGAAAGGGAAAAAATGGATAAATCTGAAAAAAAAGCACTGAGAATTTGGGAGAAGAGAGCGGGGAACAGTTTGTGAAGAGCAGCCAGAGACAGCATGCCAAGGGAGGAGGTAACGAAGTAAATAAATCCAGTCAAAAAGCGAAGTTCAGCTACACATACACATAAAGGATGAGTTTTGATGCTCCACAGAAATTGGAGAAGAAACCCCTTTTTCTTCAGGAGTAACCTCTCATGGCAAGGAGTCCTCATTTTAGGGAGCACTGGTTTTGGGGAGGAAGGTACAAGGTTAATGCTGAAAACAGCAGGGTAAATAACATACCTTTGTAAGGAGATAAACAACATCTGGGCAGATGTTACCGATGTTATCCTTTGTCTTTGGGAAAACAACATCCTGACTGGCTGTCACTAGCAAAGTTAGATCCAAGAGATTATTTTTTTTTAAGTAAAGTCTTCTGGATGGGAATTAGTTTGATGTTTGAAAAAACTGGCCCCAAAAAATGATTCCGCTTTTATCTGATGACTTAGGATGGACAGAAAGAAAATTACTATTTAATAAATGGAAAGCAAGACATTGTACAGCAGCCTGACAGCCCAGCTCTAGCGTCTGGTGTTGAACCTGGAAACACCATGAGAAAAAGACCGCCTGTAAGTCACCACGATATCCAGAGATATTTCCAGAGAACTGGAAATACAGCAGGCCCAAAGCCTTCAGCCAGTCCAAGAAGCTCAAGGCAACACTAGGGCAAAATTCTGGCCAAAACGCATGATGGGCAGAGGGCAGATGAGAGAAGGAGAGCAAGGAAATGATCTGGAGAACATCCACTGCTACACAGCCAATGATCAGCCTAGCAGTAGTCTTTACTTGTTCTTCATGTGCTCTCACTTGTTTCCCAACCAACAATGATGGATAGAACCAGAAGAAATCATGGGAACTTTGACAGAGTTTGTTGGAAAAAAGGATCTTTCAGGCCATCGAATTTAATCGCAGAACTTCACCCAGTTGCTGTAGCTGTAACCTAGTAACTTGTGTATAAATATCTCACAAAGATCCACTATTCTTCATTTCAGGTCATCAATTCTACTGCTCTCCTTCAGTGTCATATTTAATCCTCTTCTCAATGTTTTTGCAAATGCAGTCAAAACAAATTTTCATTTATTTATCAGCGTCACAGGGTTTTAAAAGAGCTTATCTGCGGTCTGCTGTTTACTTAAGAACACATCTTTAGAGACACAAAGAAATACTACCTATAATGTACACTCATGGCCCAGTTGCCCTTTTTCCAACACAAAAGAAGAGTCTCCTGCTGTGGAGGGGACACGCTGATGGATCAGAAGGATGATGTGGAGAGAAGCAAGCAGGGGAAGCAGCTGAACAGGTTCCTCTGGCTTCCACCAAACCAGGGCACCCAGAAACACTCTCCGTCTCCTCCACTTGGGTGATCACCCCAGCTGCCTGGTGATGTTATTTCAGAGCAAGACCTACAAATGCATCTTTTGCCCTGCACCCTGCCTGCAGCGCTACCCTTCCCATGGGAAGAAAGTCTGCAGGAAGAGGCCAAAGGTAGCTGCTGTGCACTGAAACGTGTCTAGACAAGGCAGAAATCAGCACTGTCAGGCATATCATGGAAAAAAACCCACCATGTAGGGGGTGCCTCTGGTTTCTCTTCCTTCCAGCCTCATAAGGAAATTGTCCTGTCTTGCCCCTCTTGTCCCCCTGCACTGTTGGACACCTCCCAGGCTCCTTCAGGGAGTGTTTGAAAATACAAAAAACCCAGAACCCCCCAGAAAAGGTCCCTGCAGGTGTCCTTATTATCGGCATGTTAATGCACGGGACTGGAGGAAAAGGCATCCCTTTGATGCTCCAAGATCTGCAGCTCAAGGCAAACTGAACTGCCAAGTTCTGTTCACATGTACCTGAAGTCTCTGCCTTCTCACCCAGAGAAATGCAAGAAAAAGATATCTATTTCACCATTCCCATTACCTCTCTGCTTCATTTTTTATTAAATCTGAAATCACCTAGAGCAGAAAACCCCAGAAATGGAGGATTTTACATGGCACAGAAGAGGAACTCCAGGTTCCAGACACAAAGTCACCCTGGGAGAGCAGGTCAACCAAGGCTGGGTGCACCCCAAAAACCCACTGTCCTATGCCTGTAAATACATATGCCTAAGTACAAGTGGGAGAGTTCCCGTAGAGCCTGACTTTAGATTTAAAGATGAATGCCACAGAACACCAAATTTAACCTATAATGAAATAGAAGAGGGAAGAATTTGAATTTGAGTGGGATTTATGAAGAAAAGCGTAAGTGCTGGCATTGCACAACATGTTCCACACAGTATAAAGGTCCAACTCAGCTTTTCTTTACATCTGATATTACGGAGAAAGGGGGGGGGGGGGCGGGGGGGGAAGGCAGAAAGAACATAAAAGATTGCATGAGCCTGGGGAGGATTCATCCCTGCAGCAATCTCCCTGTGCCCTCTCTTCCCTAATTTCACCTTCTGGGACACAAGAACCCCTTATCATCATAATTAACCAATACATAGCCAATTACATAAGTCCATCATAGGCAATTTCATGAAGATGCATTTATAACTCCTGTAATTTACACTTGGAAACAAAGTTATATGAGAGAAAAGGTTACTAGAGGTTTTCAAAATAATCAAGAGCTTTGTTTATTAGTGATGCTTTTGAAACTCAACCTGAAGTCTAATCAGGAATGTCTTCACTGAGTATTTGTACAGGCTAATGAAGTAAATGTGAGCAGGGGGAGTAAGGGCCTCTCTTACCCTCTCTTACTGCATCCAGGGTTTTCAGCTGTTATCTCTAACCCGAGGTAGGAATCATGTTTTCAGCCCCTATTACTCAAAAACTATTTCCGAGAACACTTTTTGTCTTGACTATGGGCTGCAACAGGCAATTATCTAACACTCGTTTTTACAAGCATCTTCTACAAGCAGCTACGGGGTCGAGTGTGCTCATTATCTATCTGCTATTTGAAAAGGGGAAACAAAGAGCCCTGCTTTTCTGGACATCAGTGTGGGTGCTGTTCCTGAGCACTGCAACTTAGACAGCATCTCCAGGAAGGTTCAGGAGCTCTGCTCGCCTTTTACCTGGAAGAAGGACCCTGAGGACAAGCATCAGCTCCCACTGGCAGAGCAGTCACAGCAAGGCAATCTGGACTCCGGTCTCACTGTGAGCGGCATCCATCCTCATGCCAATTAACACCCCCAGTGATTGCACTGACGTGGACATCTGGCTGCTGAGAACAACATGCACCGAGTCCAACTGCTCCTGTCTGGAGAGCTTTTCCTCTGGTTCAGACTTGTTTCTTCCCAAAATCTTCTGCCCTGGCCCCCTACGGGCTTTGCCACACTTGCCAGACACATCCTGCTTCTCCTGGACCCACGGTAAATCATGCTCATCACTTGGAAATATCCCCTTCCTTGGTGCAGACTGATCCTTCCATGACAGACCTCTGCCCTTCTACCCCAGCTAAAGAACTGCCCCTCCAGCCTCTCATGGTTGTCTGCCAGCCCACAGCTACATGATGCTACAGAGCTTTTCACCTCTGCCAGACCACACTCCTAACCCCGACTTCTCCCTTTGCAGCACTGGGAGCAATGCTGGCATCTCTAACTTAGACTTGGACTTCTCCCTGGAACCTTTTCTCAGCATAATGTTTTCAGGGAACAGCAACGCAACCCCAGTTCCTTCTGATGTTTGTGTGTCTCCTGTATATGTCTGAGGAGACCTTAGAGCAGCTCCACTGCCTAAAGGGGCTCCAGGAAACCTGGAGAGAGGCTTTGGACAAGGGCCTGTAGGGACCAGACAAGGGGAATGGCTTTAACCTAGCAGAGCTGACAACACCTATGTGGACTTGTGCAAAGCGTTCGACACTGCCCCACATGGCATCAGGGCAATCCCAGGAACAGCTACAGGTTGGGCAGAGAAGAAATTCAGAGCAGCCCTGAGGAGAAGGACTTGGGGTGTTGGGTGAGGAGAAGCTCCCCATGACCCGGCTTCAGTGAGCGCTTGAGCCCAGAAACACCCCGTGTGCTGGGCTGCACCCCCAGAGCGTGAGCAGCAGCTCAGGGAGGGGATCCTGCCCCTCTGCTGTGCTCTGGGGAGACCCCCCCTGCAGTCCTGATCCAGCTCTGGGGCAGCAGCACAAGAGGGACGTGGAGCTGTTGGAGTGAGGCCAGAGGAGGCCATGGAGATGCTGCGAGGGCTGGAGCAGCTCTGCTCTGGAGCCAGGCTGAGAGAGCTGGGCTGGGGCAGCCTGGAGAAGAGAAGGCTCCTGAAGGGGAGACCTGAGAGCAGCTCCAGTGCCTGAAGGGGCTGCAGGAAAGCTGGAGAGGGGCTTGGGACAAGGGCCTGTAGTGGTGGGACAAGGGGTGATGGGTTCAAACTGGAACAGGGGAAGTTCAGGTTAGATCTAAGGCAGAAGCTCTTCCCTGTGAGGGTGCTGAGGCACTGGCACAGGGTGCCCAGAGAAGCTGCGGCTGCCCCATCCCTGGCAGTGTTCAAGGCCAGGTTGGACACAGAGGCTTGGAGCAAGCTGCTCTATGGAAGGTGTCCGTGCCCGTGGCAGGGGTTGGGGCTGGATGAGCTCTAAGCTCCCTTCAGCACAACCCGCTCCCTGACCCCGGCCCCCCCCCTCCCGCTCCCTCAGGCACCGAGCGCCGGTAGCGGCCACCGACCGCGCGCGCCCTCCCCTGCCCCGCGCAGGCCCCGCCCAGAAACCGGCTCCGCTGGCCAATGGCGCGGCGGCGAGCGCGGGGCGGGGCGGGGCCGCCTCTTCCTCGCATGCACGCCCCCCCCCCCCGCCCCCCGCTGCCGCCGCCGCCGCCCGCGGCCGCCGCCGGGGGCAGCGCCATGAGACAAAAGGCGCGGTGAGGAGGTGAGGAGCCGGCCCCGGTGCCCAGGCCGCGCTCCGTGGTGGCTGTGGCATGGTGGCCCCACGCCGCTGAGTCCGGCCCGGCCCGCAGTGCCTCTCCGCCATGCCGAGCGGCAGCACCGCCGCGGCCTCCCCCGCCGCCGAGCCCGCCGAGCTGCCGCCGCTTCTTCCTCCCCGCCCGGCGTCGCCGCAGCCGCTGCTGGTGCTCCAGCAGAGCTTCGCCGGCCTCAGCCTCCTCGGCCAAGGAGGGGCAGGGGCGTCCCAGAGGCAAGCCCGGCTGCGGCAGGCGGGCCTGGCTCCGCCGTCCGATCCCCCCCTGGAGCCGGGGCCTGGAGGGGCAGAGGAGGAGGAGGAGGCGGCGGCGGCGGCGGCCGGGGACGAGGCGGACCTGGACCTGGACCTGGAGCTGGACGAGGAGGAGCTGCTGGCGGGAGAGGACGCGGAGGAGGAGGACCAGGACACGGCCGCCGTGCTGGTGCTCTCGCCCTCCCAGCCGCTGTCGCTGCTGCCGCCGCTGGGCTCCGTCCTGCTGTCGCCTTCCTTCGATGTGCGGGAGCCGCCGGCGGCGGGAGCGTTCCGCGGGGCGGACGATCCTCAGGGCATGATGGCGGCGATGCTGTCCCGCGCCTACGGCGGCGGCCTGGGCAGCGGCGGGGGGGCCACGGGCCTCAGCAGCGAGCAGGCGGCGCTGCTCCGCCGAAAGAGCGTCAACACCACCGAGTGTGTGCCCGTGCCCAGCTCGGAGCATGTGGCCGAGATCGTGGGGAGACAGGGTGAGTGCGGCCGGGCCTCTCCCCACACACCCCCGGGAGGGCCCGTTCGTGGTTGGCTGGAGGAGCCCCTCTCCCCGGCAGTGGGTTCGTGTCTCCCGGGGGCCGGTTCCCTCTCCCCGAAGCCCCGGCTGCCCCGCGGAGCACATGGGGCCGGCGCTGCATGAGCAGCCGGGGGGTGAGAGCAAGCCCTGGGCTAGCTCAGCCCTTCGGTTGTTGTTAACTTGAGCTGTAAAATTCAGCGTGTAGCCTGGCTTTGCATAGGGAGGTGTTGGCAAGAAGCGTTGGTCTTCGGTGACACTGGGCTTGTGGTCTTCAGTTTCACCATAGGAACTTTGTACCTGTGTTTTACAAAGGCTTTTAGGGTGAAGGACTTCTAACTTCCTTGCCTTGCAGCGCAGAGTATGGGCTGATACTGTTCCTGTAGCGCTCCATGACGCTCGCCGAGACAGTGGGACCTCCGGAGCGAGCGAGGTGGAGAAAGGAACCACGTGCAGCCCTTCTGTGTGAAAGCCTTTGCCTTTCTGCCCGGTTTGCGGCTTCCTGTTGATCGCTGTTGCTACACTCCGCGGGTCTCTATTACGCTGTTAGGATAAGGTCATATCGCTGCTGCCCTTTCATGTGGTCTCCTGGGAGCGGTGCTCCGAGGAGTTAGAAAGATGACGTTTCATGCCAGCTTTCTGGCCGTAAACCTGATTCTAAAAGCACTTTATATACCAGGGGAAGCGCTGAGCAGCGTCAAGTGTAGGTGTGGGAGCACAGACAGTGGAGTTGCTGCTGTCTTCCTCTTCCCTTTCTGTGCTACTCTTTATTGGTTTGGGGGTGGTGTGTCTCGTTTGCTGATAGGCTCTGATAACGAACTGTTATGCTGTCTGGTCTCTCTGCATCAATGTGGCTTTTGTTTCTTTTTCTCCCTTGAGTGTGGAAGAAATGGTAAAATCGGTCTGAACCATGTGGTACTAAAGAAATGCCCACTGAGCACTGACATTTGTTTTCTCTTCCTACATGTATTTTAGACTTTTAGCAGTCAAAGGTGGGTTTGTTTTTTTTTTTTGCTGGGTTTGTCAGAGAACCGAAGGGTGTGCTGCAGAAATTAGCAGGTAGCTTCCTCTGATGCAGCCAAGTCTGTTCTGTTTCAAGCAGAAAACGTCTTTTCCAATAACTTGTGTTTGAATGTCTTAAGACTTCCTCATGTGTCACTGGGGATGGCAGGCAGGGAGGGGGGAGATGGAAAACAGAACTGAAAATGGTTATTGCTACAGTTCTCTAGAAGAGAAATACAAGCTATTGGGCTTCAAGGACAGATTAGGCAGCTGTGTTTTTCTCCCCTTGATCAGGATTGTTCTCTGTAGTACATTTTTTCAGTGCTTTGAGTTACTTAAAAACAAGATAATGGAATTTGTTTAAAAATGGGATCACTGTTCCTGGAGAGTTCATTTGCTGCTTCTGCTTTTATTTCTTATCAGATCTTACAGTGTTTGGCTTGTGATAAAATATTTAGCCTCGGTGGGGAGGGATTCTATCATAAAGAGAATTAGGGCTACAAAGGAGGAAGGAGCAGGAGTGGAGGGAGAGCTAAAAAAACTGCTACCAAATATACTTCCATGAAAGCTTTGCGCAAGGAGGTCCTTCAGAGCTCTCATTTGGGGAGACCTATGCTTAAGAGACCAACTTACGTAAGCTGTATTAGTTCCACTAAGTTTTTGTCAAATTTCTTAGAAATACTGGTCCTTGCAGGTCCTTCTATGGCCCAGAGCTGTGCTGTCTCACGACTCGGGCTAAAGGCCCTTACCCACCTGCTTTGCATGTGTATGTGCTCTAGCCCAGCAGTGTGTGGTCAACTGTAGTGCAGCTTGGTCTGCCCCAAGCAAGTCTGGTCTGAGCTGCATCCTTCACCCATCCTTCTGTTCTCTCTGAAAACGGAAGATGCTGCATGTTCTTTCTAGCACACAGCTGGTTGCATTATCTTGAGTGAATTCAGCTTAAGTTTTATGCCAGACTCCTCTGCACTGTGATACTTTTAATATCCAATTATGTGAGGGCAGTGTGATTGGGATGTTAATTCTGACGAGTTTTCACTAAGATTTAACTTTATATTTGCTCTTTTGCTGTCTTTGTGAGGTATAAAAAGAACTTGAAATGTCTGCAGCCCCCAAAAACATCAGCTCTGAAATACCAGAAGTGCTAAGCTTGGTCTAGGTTTCACAGGAGGCCTCGCTGCTGTGCCTGAAAGCATGTGTACTGTAAGTCACCCTAACTGAAAGAATAATGATAACCAGAATTCCACAGTATTCTTTACCTAAATCTGATTTTTTGCATGGGGTATGAGAACTTACAGGCACTCTGTATCAGACCAAAGGAGCACCTCATTCGTAGGAGAGCTGTAAGCAAGCAAAAACCTCATGGTGCTCACATATAGCCTTTTTCCAATTATGTGCAAGTTTCAGGCATAAATACAGCACGTCAGGCAGTGACTGCAGCCCTGCTCTGGGTCACTGAATAGCTGGTCCACACATGGGTAGCTGCCCTTGCCAGATCTTTGCTGTAAGCTGTGCACAGATGTGAGATGTTGCAGCTACAGGAGGTGCAGAGTGCCTGAAATGTACCTAGTAGGTGATGGCTTTCTTGTGAAGCTGCTGGGTTACTGTGACAGTGTTTCAATGCTGCTGGAAGCATTTATATCACAGAGAAGGCTTAAGTAAGATTTTCTTTTAGTGAATAGTAGGTGTTCCTTCTTTAAAATGAAAAGTCCCGTAGTATTTCTTAAACCTGGAGGGATGGTGATTGGTTTTGGGTTTCTTTTTTGTTTATTTTTTTTTTTTAATCTTAAATGTTCTCAACCTTTTCTTATTCCCCAAAAATGCAGCTGACAGACACTGGTTGGGATAGTGTAATACAATTCTTCACATGAAGTGGAAGAATCTCAAAGGTGAACAGCAAAGGAAAAGGTGTTTGTATCCTTTTATTCTTGTAAAGGCATGTGATTTGGAGCCAGGAAAACTAGATTCCATTCATGGCATTGTACAGGCTTCCTGTATGAATTTGCACTTGCTGTTGAATCCAGCCCTCGTTAAGTTGTCCAGTCATCGTGCTGATGAGAAAAGTGAGTTCCTTTGCTGTCAGCAGCTAAAAGTCCTGCATGCACAAAGTTGCTTTGGTTTTTAGAAAATAAAGTTTGAGAAAGTGCTCTTGAGAAGTGGTGCAAGAAAGCTGCATTGCCAAGGAGGTGACCTTGTTTGCCTGAGAAAAGCTGGCATAGGGCGTATACCCAAAATTATATAAGCATGAATCTAGACTTAAAAAAAACAACCAACTTCTAGGGATCTAACTTGGGAGGTTTTGTTTTAACCTCTAGATCATGTGAAGGACTTGCAAAAGTCTGCTGTGGATCACCTGCAAGCATCCTCTATGTACATCTCTATATGTGAAGTTGGGCATGGTAATTGTCAATCCTGGTGGGCCCTGAGAAGGATTTGATAAGTTTAACTGGGGTCTTTAGTGTCCCCTTCCCCATCCACTTTCTTTAATAAGAAAAGCATGTTTAAACACTAAAAGCTCTTTTGAATAATGCAAAAAGAGGGGTGGTGTCTGAAGGCATGAACAGAAAACCTGAACAATGCAAGTAGGGACAGAAGTCTGTGCTGTAGGGAGATGCTGCATCCCTGTTTTGTCTTCAGATGATTGCTGGGATATTTGCCTATTGCATTCCACTCTTGTGACTATCCAAGTAATGTGATTTTTCCAAGTGTTTATCTCTCCTATAAAGCTGACAGTAGTGCTTTTTTTCCTCAAGACATCACTCGAGTTGAGCTACTTAACTCTTGAGCTTGATGCTTTTCTTTTTTCAGTAAGTATAGTTCAGATGATGGCTGCAGAAACTGAAACGAGCCGGGCAGTCTCCAAACCCCAGATGAGTAAGAGGAGGAGGAATGATATCATCCCATTTCACTGATTAAATCGATAATGACAAATCTGCTTTGCATGAGACAGCCTTGCCACTGAAATAACAATTTTATGCGTATTTAATGATCTTGGGCCCCTTTTTGCTCTTTGCTTTTGAATGCATACTTGAGCAAAATGTTACTTTGCTTAAAACAGTCCTGTACTTTGAAACAAAATACTTCTGATAAGTTGGTAGCTGATAACTAGCACAGCTGAACAGCTGAATAAGAACAATACCTACCACTCCTGGGGGAGTGGAAGTGGTGCTAAAACAGTCCTGGAGGAAATACTTGTGTTAGCAGAGTCCGGTACCTGGATGCCCTATGGTAGGATAATTACACCTTTTCATAGAGAGCAGTGTGTCTGGATTTATGTCTCTATGTTGTGATAACAGTGTTACTGAGTTACTGACAATATTTATGTAGCCTTGACTGGTTATTAATTGCTCACCTGTAAGTAGTCAGCATAAACACAGCTAACTAGTCTGAATTGCCTGTTGGCTTGTTTTTACCTGGATGCTTAAAGATTTCCACTCTCAGGAATGAGTTTAATTTACATGACTGAAGTCATTGTATGTCTCAGTGCCAGCTTATTGCCACAGACAGCAGAGACCTCAGCTAACTTATTTTAAGTGAAAGCTGAAAGTCAGTTATACTTCAGATTTCTTTTTGCATCCTCTACAGCAAGCAGGTTATTAGATATTATATGAAATGGTTTGCTCTAAAGACTGAAAGAAAACTTGAGCTGTTTGTTGAAATCCAGTATAAAAGCTGTTTTTCTGATAAGCATAATTTTTAGAGCTTGTAAATCTAGGAACTTAAAACATATGAACATACAGTGGCCTCAGTTCCCTGCTGAAGTTTCAGTGATTTATTGCTCTGGTGCTGTTTAACAAACATTTTGGTTCCACTGTTTGTGATTTGCTTTATGCAAAGACCCAACACCAGTTGCAGGGTGTGTCAGAAGGGTGCAGGTTCTCCAGCTGGGATCATAAATCCTCAGTTACAAATGCTGCTACTGTTTGGGTTTCTGGGTGGGAAGCACACCAAACTCAGTTCACA